GCTCGCTTTGCTGGCGCTCTGCAGATCCAGCGTGACAGGCCCGTGCTTCAGGGGCCTTATGCCCCAACTCAGCTCCTTACGCAGATTGAAATACTCCTGTAATCAGATTTGCAAACGCTAATATCCAACGTTTTTTTGGAATTTAAATCTAATTGTTTTAATATCTATAATGCATCGGTTTTTAGGTCTAAAATGCAACGGTTTTTAGATCTAAAATGCAACCATTTTGAACTAAAAAAATCTCACGTTTTTTAAGGTCGAATTCAGCGATAAGCTATCCCTAGATTTCTAGGTGAAAGAATTGTTAATAATGAAGTGCCCTACATGTAAGTCACATTTTCAGCGTCTCGTCAAACATTTAAATTGAATGTCATGACTAAAATCCGTTGTGAAGCAATTAATCAGCACAAGATCATGAAATAGCAATAGTTTTTAGTTCTGTATAATTTCATTATGCTTTTAGGTAGGAATGTTTATACTAGCTTCTCTATACCTTTATAATCGTATAAATAATAATACTTTAATACTTAATCGGAGTATGCTGTACATTTCTGTATCCTCCCAAAAATAATTTAAATATTGTAGAAACCTGTGGACACTGATTAAAATTTGGCAGATTTATTCGAAGTTTCATAATAGTAGCAATTCCAAGTATCATAAATTCAACCTTTACTCTTTTTTAAATAGCTAATTTACCACACCGTTAAATTATTTCATTAAATATAATGCACAAATATTTTTGATTATAGAAGAATTTGAAGCCAGAATGCGAACAAACTGGAAACGAAATAATTGAAACATACATATAACAAAATTTCGACAATTAAAATGGTGATATAAAATGTTTTTTAGTTTCCGAATAAGCAACTTATATCGTTATAAAACACGCGTTCATTGCTTTCTGATGTGAATAATTAAATCGAAAAATTTATTAAATGCTGTACCGATTCCAAATTTTTTCTTGTTTCTATTACAACCATGATGATTAATTGGAGTTTTGTATCATCATGACTTGGAATCATGATGATCCAATACTTTCATTATTTCTATTGATCTGATTTCACACATCGACAAATGTTCACCTTGGCAGCACGGTCCCGGTTAAGGTCATAAGGCTGGCAGAAGGAGAAATAAGTTTCAGCTTTCTTGTCAGATGCCGAGGGCAGCTTGGCGAGGGCTTTGACTTTGTACCTAACGTAGCTGTGAGGGCTCTCGAAAGATGAGGGCGCCTCAACAGGCAAGATGAATTCGAAGCCAAACTCGTGGGTTCCCGTCTCTATTGTTGCTGGCCAGGCTTCCGAACGAATGAAACGAGCATCTGACTTGCAAACCCACATTATTATTAGATCAAATCATTATTCCGTATGATTTTAGGTAAGTGATTTTATCTTTGAACAAGGTATGTAAATTTTTAAGCCTGTAGTGTGTTAAAATTGAAAAATTTGAAGGATATTGTGACTGATAGATTTTTTATAGAATCAAAATCAGTTTCATGAATGATTCAAGAGTAATATATGCTCATGAGTGAATACCGCAGAGACAGATCAACTTAGTTCCTAAAAAATTCAAGTACTAAAAAAATTCAAGTACTTAATCCTAAAAAATTCAAGTACTAAAAAAATTCAAGTACTTAATCCTAAAAAAAATCAAGTACTAAAAAAATTCAAGCACTTAATCCCAAAAAATTCAAGTACTCGTCTGTGGTATTATAGAATAAATCTAACTTGAATGAACTGATTGCAAGTATCAATTTCGACTTGGAAATTTGACAAAACTGCGCTCACGAGAAAAATTCAAATGCATCACTCACTTTCTGGAGAAGATGGAGCAAGCTCTTGTTCACAATACTCTTCTTTGCCCTCAAAAATGTTCGAAAACCCATTACTAGTTTCTCTCCAGTACACCTTGCCTTTACCATGGCATTTTACCTTCAGATCTGTCGGATGATGAAGGGATTTAAATGAGCAGATAATAAAGTTGATTTATGAATCAATGATGCGGAATTTTTTTGTTACCAATGATAGAAATTGAGAAGTTATTAAGAATTAAATACGGTCAACTATCTGATCCCGTTTTCCAGAGGCTTATGATCTGGAGTTCTGGACGAGGAGGTTTGCTTGTCCCACAATTTTCAAAGTTCAATGATCAAACTTGACATAATATTAAATATTTGTTCATGAGTCATATCTAACTATTTGAACCTATTCCATGTGCCTACATTTTTCTATATCTGCTGTTTGAATTTTTGTGTTGTCGGATGGTTACAATCCCTATTCAATAGGAATCACGGGTGCGTGTTCTGTGCAGCCATTATTTGTCTCCATTCGAATTAACCTATAACTTTAAGGTCAATTCGACATGCACAGGATGAAGAACAATTATCGTTCCTGCTTTCGTATCAACTTTCAAAATTTGAAACATCTGCGTTAAGGTTCAATAAAGGCAACATAGCTCGGTTATCAAAGAAAACCAGCCGCTCCACATCAAATAATTGATTTCAGTTGATAATTGAGAGGAGATAGTATCTTGTCGGGGTTGACTAGCGTGTAATCAAACAAATTGATTATAGCGATTCGATTAGACGATCATAAATTATTTACCCAAATGATCAATAGAGATGAAAGTCAGGTGTCAAAGAAAACGTTCTTTGCATCAAGCAAGTTGACTTGAGACTTCTAGTGATTTACGATTTAATGTGCAGTGAATTTCATTTACATGATTGCTCAAAAGTTTCTCCTTTGAAACAAAGTTACACATTTGCAAAAACCATTCGGGTAAAACTAAAACTCGGGTAAAACTAAGAAAAAACTAAAAAATTACCGTCAGTAAATTCTGATGTTCTAAAGTTTTAAAATATTCATAAAGCATATTCCAGAGCCAAATTAACGCATGGTCAGACTGAACAGCAAAGTATATAAAGGAGTAAATACGATATTTCCGAAACATGTTTATACATTTCGCTAATTAATGCTGATGAATTTCGATCATCATCGAACCCCGATTATGACATATACAGGAGGATTGAAAATACATTATTAGGGAAAGAAATCTTTAAATATTATTAACTTAACATTAACAGTCCGTAACGCTCATCTTTGAGCTTGTTCATTATTCGAAAATTCGTTTGACGTTTTAGTTTAGACTTTACCGGCCGAAATGTACGGAATGCTAAGGTTCAATGATTATTGTTGCTTGGAAAGCCGGAGCGAAGGTGTATGTTGTGCTAGGATGTAATGAGAGTTTATAAATAATAGTTTTGGAATAGTTTTTTAATATTCGGATTTTATGTTATTGATATATCTAATGTCTAGATGATTATTTGTTATTTATTTTTATATTCGCCTTCTTTAGGAAAGCCTCAATTGCCAAGAACGAATCTCAAACGTCAAGATTTAGGCTCAAACCTCAGGCGTTAATTTCAACCTTGTAGCACGGGTCAGAAAGAATCAACCTACGGTTTAACGTTCAACCTGTCTCTTATACACATCTAGATGTGTATAAGAGACAGATGCTGACCAGTGTACACTTCAGTTTTATACTCCTTAGGTTTTATTCATACACTTCGAGTCTATTATTGAGTGAAAACTTTACGTGATATATTGTGAGTTGTCTAAAGTTCTAATAATGTATAAATTATGAGGTTCACAGAATCTAAAGGTTTGAATGCTAAATTTTCCAAGTACACTACCGGTAGTCTAGTCAGTCAACTGAGTCAAGTGTCATGTCGATGTCATTGTTGTGCATTGCCTCTTCTTTGATAAGTTTCTCCAATTGCCAATGAGTTTATCCTCATTTTGAAAGCTGACGTAATGAATAGGTGCAATAAATGTT